AGAGGAGCTAACTAAAAAAGCATGAGCGAGAAAGTTACCAATAAAATATAACTGTGAAAAAGGAAAAACTGTAACTCGGCATATGGGTGAAAAAATTTTTTTTGCAAATGTGTAAGTGTACATCAGTATTTCAGGAAAGCCTATTGCTCTAGTTAGATTCTGGTTTTATATCTTTGTAGTAATGTCCCATTTTTAGAAAACCTTTCAATAGTTTTTCTTAGGTTTCATCCTTTGTAAACCTTGTTTAGCTTTCTCGGATTCTTTGTAATGTACTTAAACCTTTCCTTTTTGCCCTTTCTGTTATCAAGCTATCCAGCCTTTTTGCTTTTGTGGGGGAAAAAAAAGCTATAGCATGTGTAATTGTTTCTCATGCTTTTAACAAGAAAAAAAAATACTTCGAATTATACAAAATAGCTTTTTTTTCTCAAAAATATTTTCTTTATTATAGTTATTTTACATGATATATTTTTCTTGTACTTACGTAAAACTAAACTCTTAAGTAACCTGAATTTCTTTTTTTTTTAATCGGTACTGGGGATCGAACTCATGACCACCTGCTTGCAAGGCAGGTGCTTATGCCATTGAGCTAAATCCCCAGCCCCGTAACCTGAATTTCTAGTGAAGACCAAGTAGAAAGGAGTCTTGAAATGTTTGTCATGTACAACAATTAGAAAAATTTACAATTTCTACAAACGTATATTCTCATTTAATAACAAAAAACTTTAATGTGGAATAGTATGTTTATTAATAGGTTCAAATACATAAAATCTTTTCGAGAGGTGTTGAACTTACATTTAACAATCAGTGTATATTTTGACTTAATAACCTTTAACTGTATGAATTATTTCTAAGTAAGTCAGAGATACTCTTTAAGTTATATGAACAATTTCCGTAAATGATCCTATTTATGTTCACCTATTTTGAGATACTAGGCAAGCATAGTCCTTATATTATTGGTTCAAAAAAGAATGCTCTAGAGTAAAAGTTAAAACTCAGTACTCGATACACAAGAAATAAGACACACAGCATTGTACTGTGACCTTCCAACACCTGAGAAAGATACAACTCTGCATGGCCAGCAAAGACAGGCAGAACTGCATACTAACATTTGTGAAGACATCTTTTATTTTACCAAATGTAAAACGAGCTTCTATTTTGAAGATTTACTTAAATCATATCAACTAAAGGGTACTTAGGTTAATTATTATAATCCTAATAGGTTCAGTTTATATAACTGCTCGTTTATCTCTACCATGTTTGTGTGTCTCACTGCCAGGCAGCTTGAATCATCTATGGTACAAGCCTGATTGCCTCATGGGGTGACTTTTTATGAATTTTATTAGTGAAAAGAATGAGAAAAGTGGTGATGCACTTGTACCATACCATCAGTGGTTCAAGTTGCTGGGAACATGTTAAGCTTTTTAAAATTTTATTATTTTTGTTTAAAAGAGTATAAAACCAAGCAAAAAATCAATAAAAACAAAACAATGAATGCAATACAGGACCTCACAACAAGACAATAGGGAATCAGCAGTGGCCACCACCCTCAGAAGGAGATCCCCATAGATGCTACACTGCATATTGCCAGCCTCTGAATAGGCGATCAGACTGCTGGCTTTAGGTCTGCAAAGTCAGTGAACCACTAAACACTAAAGGCATTAAATTGTAATAGCTGTCATTGCAGCCTGTTTCTCTGGATCAGCTGGTGGCTTGAGACATGGGGAGAAGAGCTTGGCTCTTAATTCTCTTCCCCTGTCTTCCGTGAATGGTGCTAACTCACGGGAAAAGGCTGGCATCCCATGTTAAGCTATTGTGACTAGAATTCCTTACCAATTTTGCCATGTAGACACACAACTTGTATACACAGAGAAAGATTTTAGAACATTCATCTTAGAGCTGGTTACAAAAGAGAAAACTATAAACTCAGCTGCTTCCAAAAATATGACCAATCAAATCCAAATTATACCAGACAAAAACTGGACAAAGTGATCTCTCCATACAGTTAACCTTTGAAGATTGTCATTTGTCCTGGTAGGTGGGAATTAGTGCAGTTTCTATAGTGTAGTTTCAGAAAGTCTGTCCTCACCTAGCTGGTAAACACAATGAGTTTGACCCCCAATACCAAAAACGAAGTCTTGTACCTTCTCAGTCTCCCTCGTCCCCCTTTTAAAAACCGTTTCCAATCTCAGTGAGCTCACGATTTAACTATTAGATGGATTATTGGCTGGAGTAACAAACTTCCTAAGTAGCCTTAAATTTTATGTATGTATATATTTACTTATGGTCTTGCTGTGTAGTTCAGGCTGGCCTTGAACTCACTGTGTAGCCCAGGCTGACCTCAGACTTACAGAGGTCCTTTTGCCTCAGCCTCCTGAGTGCTGAGATTACAGATGTGCCTGACTATACCTGATGTGACCTCAAATTAGTACCAAAATTCTTTTCATTTTGTTTGCTTGATTAGTCAGCACAAACAGGAGATGTTTGTGAGGCAGGGTCTCACTGTGTAGTTCAGGTAGCCTCAGAGTCACTACCTCTGCTCCGACTCCCAAGCACTGGGATTACAGAGGTGCCTATGACACCCATCTAACAACGCAGTTCTTCTGCTGGACAAGAGGGAGTTTTTTTCCTGAGCTCAGGATTTTGCCCAGTATATAGGTTGATTTCTTAAAAATGCCTGTCCGAAGGACTCTTGCCTTTTAGATTATTAATCAGCTTATTTAGGCAGTACTGGAAGTTAAACTCAAAGATGCCACACATGCTAAACAAGCACTCTGCCACCAAGCTACAGCCCCAGCATCTTCACCGTCTTAATTTTGGTTTGAACTAGTTTTGCTGTGTTCCCTAGGCTACTTTCAAACTTTCAATGCTCCTGCCTTGGCCTTCTTGTTAACTGCTTGTCACCCTAAGCCTTTGTTAGCTAAGCAAACCTAAATTTTCATTTATAAAAGGAATGTCTTTTAGGTCTCCAGGTAACTCTGGAGCTGCTATAAATTGCAAAGCCATTGGCTTGAAGGTTTTGTTGACTAAAATGCCATAACTTTTTCAAGCAGGCTTTGCCCAGCTTCATTCGGTTTTTCCATGTGTCTTTAAGCAAAAACCCAAGAAGCTCAAAAGAGGAAAATAAAGATGAGCGCTTAAGAGCCTTCACGTGTTGACCTTCTACCTGTAGCTGCAGTGTAAGAATCTACTTTTCAGTTAAAGAAGAGAGCATACACAAGGATGGAGTACAGTTTAACCAGCTGAGGCACAGAGGGGGACATTTGTATACTTTAGAATGGAGGTACCCCATTTTTGTACTCTAGAGCAAAAAGTAATAATTTAAAAATCATTTTAAAATGCTGTGGTTTGGGGCAAGATGTTCTGCTTTGTTCAGTAGATTGGCAGAGGATTTTTCTTTTCATTCGGTGAAAGTGGTCGCCAAGTTGCAGAGTAATTGCCTGTGCACGGCAGGTGCTCTGCTGGTGATATTCCCTCTCCCTGACTATGGTCTTCAGCGCCAGCCTGAAATCTTCAGAGATGATGTGCTCATGGGTGATGGTAGTGGCTCGTAGCTGTTAAATGACCATCCCAAGCCTATTCATTTGCAGCGTTTACTTTGGCTCTCAGAACCTTGTCACAAAATAAGTAGGGAGTAAAAGCCAAATCATTTGCAGATGTGCATAACCAAAATCAAGATGTTCGCAAAAGCTAAATGAGGCATGTAAATCCAACAGGATGTTAAAATAGCTGTGCAGAATTGGTCAGTGAGATAGTGAAGGTCCTAGTAGATACAAGTTCTTAAAAATTTGACTACTCCTCAGGACAGTGTCCTTACACAACAAAGGAGGACTTAACAGGACAGAAACATCCCACCCCAGTCCTGAGATTGAACCCAGGGTCTTAGCCCTGGACTGCGTGCTCTCCAGCCCTGCTTAATTCAGAATGCTAGGTCATGCCAAGTCCCTTAGCTGCCAGTCTGGGGTCAAACTTGCAATCCAGCCTCAGCTTTCTGGAGTGCTAGGAAGGTGTGTACCACCGTGACCACCTGTATTTAAGAACACCTTACCAAAATGTCGCCAGCAGGGAGTTTTTACTAGTTTTAAATAATAATCCAAGACTTGTGCCAGTTCAAGGATGAATATAGGGTTTAAGGGTAGATGTCTTTGAAGTTTTTTTTGTATGAGATTGCCTTGTGAGAGTTCCAGTCTGGCAAGCTGGTAAGAACCCTCCCTTCCTAACTCAGCCTCCTGCTTACGGAGATTATAGCGTACACCACCATGTCTGGCTAGGAGTTGTTTTTCTGAACTGAAACCTCAGTATTCAGGGTTAATTGCAATACTGCCACTTTACAATAATTAAGTAGGTTTTAGGTTGCAGTTTGAGCACCCATCTCCAAAAAGTCACCCTCGTTGGTCTAATACAAGGTAGTCTGTCACAGCCAGAATGAGAATATTTAACATATGAGCAAGTACTAGCAAAGAAATGCAGTTTATTTCTGCTCGTGAAACACTGTTGATTTTCATTAATTATTTGATGTTAAATTTCAGTTTCCGTAGGTTTTTTGCTATTTTGTTTTGTGAGATAGGGACTTACCATATAGTGCTGGCTGGCTGGCCTTGAACTTGTGATTCTCTTCCTCTGCATCCCGAGTATTGGACTACAGATTTGCACCACCATGCCCAGTTTTGTATTTGGTTTTTATTTTACCATACTTTTCTCCCTTGAATCTCAGCGTTATATGTTATAAAGTGGAGATAAACTAATTTGTGCTTTGGGTTTGTATCTGCTGAGTGCATTGGAAAATTGACACTTCACAAACCAGGTTTCTAAGAGAAACCCCTCATTGTACACAGCTGATCATTGTATTTTCATTACTGTTTGTACATTAGCCCATGTTGTTCTGCCTCAGTGTTTATTTAACAGCACCAGACGGTGCTCCGCAGCCCACTCTTCTGCTAGTAAATCAACAGGTAGAAGCATTGGCCAGTAACCACTGAAGCATTGTTTTCTTTTTCCCAAAGGTCTTAACGCCGGAGGAACTGAAAGCTGCTCAGACATCTGTTGCCTATGGCTGTATCAAATACGCTGACCTTTCCCATAACCGGATGAATGACTATATCTTCTCCTTCGACAAAATGTTAGATGACAGAGGGAACACGGCTGCTTACTTGCTGTATGCTTTCACGAGAATCAGGTAACCAAGCCGATGAAGGCATACTGTGCTTGCTTACTCCAAAATGATTTTGGTTTTGCTGTGTAAAACACCTTTGGAAATAAGTTCTCTTTTACGGTTGCAGATTATGCTCGAATCCCTAAGCCTGGCCATTTGCTCTGACAGATAGTTGCCCAAACATTCTTGATTTAAGTACCAGGAAGCTGTCTGGTAGGCCTTTAAAAGAATTACATCCATTCTTAATATTGTAAAGTGCCTTAGACCAGGCTGTTTTGCCTAACAGTGTGCTCTGTAGTAAGATACTTGTCCATTTTATGAGAATCTCATTTTACTTGCCAGTAATTTCTGATGTACATCGACTACCTGTGTGTTGTCCTGTGAAGAATGAGTGTGTCTAACAGAGGGGAACAGTACTGCTTGTCTGATATTTCAGGTCTATTGCGCGTCTGGCCAATATTGATGAAGAGATGCTCCGGAAAGCTGCTCGCGAGACCAAGATCATATTAGACCATGAAAAGGAATGGAAACTAGGCCGATGCATTCTGCGTTTCCCTGAGATTTTGCAGAAGATTTTAGATGACTTATTTCTCCATACACTCTGTGACTACATTTATGAGCTGGCAACTACTTTCACGGAGTTCTATGATAACTGCTACTGTGTGGAGAAAGACCGGCAGACTGGTGAGTCTCATCAGCAGTGTTTGTTGGGGAAGAGGTGTCATTAAGCATTGGATTTAGGTGGAAATGCCTTTCCAGTTCAATTTATGCATGGAAACCCTCCCTCTTTGTTGCAAAAATTGGATCCATAGCAAACATAACAGAATCTGAACTAGCGCTACTCTCTTTCTCTACCTGTGGCTCCGCACGAGGCAAGCTTAGGATCCCAAGGAAAACAAATGGAAGGCCACTGGACATAGGACATTTTTAACAAAAGTAGAGAACCAAGCCTGGAGGAGGCCAGAAGTTTGCAGGTTGAAGCACAGCCTGAGCAACTTAGTGAGACCCTGTCTAGAGATTTTAAATTAGGCTCATATATAGCATAGCTTCATGCAAAGGCCCTGGAGATTTAGTCCCCAGTACCTCTAAAAGAAATAATGTGGCCGGGGGGCAGGAGTGTCTCAGTATTCTTGGTAATAAATAGGAGCTGCCTTTTCCTGCCTTAGGCTGTTGTGCTTGTGAACATCATGTCTGGGAACTGAATTTTTCGTATCATGTTTAGGTTTATAGTTTTTTTAGATCATGAAGTTTCAAAAAGAACTCAGGAGGGTCACTTCAGGTTTGAGGCCTAAACTATATAGCGAGACCTTGTCAAAAGGAACTCTGAATTGTACAAAAAAGTACAGTATTCTAATCACTGGAGGCCTCGTCTCTTACTAGTTAAAAACAATTCTTGCATTAACTCTCTAAATAGTTGAAGATGTTCTGTTTTCTAGCTAAAATCATTTTAGGTTGGGTTGTTCACTTCTAAGTCAAAGACAGAAGAGCCTTTACTGTTGGTCGCCCGCCCCCTTCACCCCCGAAAACTCAGTGTCCTTTTCTTTGTTTTCAGGGGAAATTCTGAAGGTCAACATGTGGCGTATGCTGCTCTGTGAGGCAGTAGCTGCTGTCATGGCCAAGGGCTTCGAGATCCTCGGAATAAAACCTGTCCAGAGGATGTGACCCTTAGCATCCTTCTTAGGTTTGAACCCTGTGTTTTTACCGACGTGGCCATTAGCACTGTTTGCTCTTTTTACAAAGAAAAAAGCACATGTGCAGATAAAACAAAACTAGTAAAGATAATTTCTCTATCCATGCAAAATGTGATTCTTTAACAACTCAGGTTCTAAAAGATCAATCACTTTCACAAACAACTTGATGAAGCCCATGGAGTAGGATAGGTTTGGGCCCCGGTGTCCCTTAGTTTTCATTAGATAAACACTCTCATTTCCAGAGCATTGTTACAGGGCCCCAACACTTCCTTTGGGTTTAGTGTTGTACCTATTCCTCATTCTACTGTTCTTCATAGATACTTATCCTGTTTTGCAAGGAAGGTTCCACAGCAGTAACCTGAACTGCTCTGGAACAAAATCAAGATTCATGCCTGTGCTTAACTCTGTTTCAACCTCTCTTACTGTAGCAAAAGATGCCATTGGCAAGGTCGCAGACCCAGGGGCAGAGGATAAGAAAACAGACCAGAAGTTTTTGAAGCCTTGCATTAGCTCTCATCATAGTCATAGTTACAAAGGAAGCTCAGAAAACCTTAAAATACTTAAGGATTCAGTTGCCATGATCTGCTTAGAGCAGTCAAGATTCATCCCCTGGATTTGGTATATTGTCTCATGTCTTGAGATTGGATTTTTTAGCAAATATACCATATTCATATTAACAGAATAAAGGGAAAAAACCTGGCATGAGCAGCTCAGCAGGTCAGGAATGAGATAAAGATGTCAGCTCTTGCTGTCTGTTCAACACAGTACTGAATGTTCTAGCCAGGGCAGTTAAGCAAGAAACAGGGAAACACTTTAAAGTGAATTTACTTCTATTTCCAGATAAGACGCAATCTTATATGTAGACTACCAGAGAATGCACACAGAGGTAAGATGACTGAAAAAGAATCCCTAGTGCTTATCTCCTCTTCTCCAAAAAACCAGGATAGTAAGTGAATGGCTACAATTCAAGGTGACTCAGCAAGGGAGAGAAGATATACCTATAGGACACAGCTGAGAACAGCGTAAAGGGCAGAATAAAGCAGACTGGCCATATGACCTTGGTTCCCTGGCTAGGGCGACCTGCTGCTGCAGAGGGAAGAGGGAGCAGAGTTCCAGCAGTGCACATCTGGGGATGTTGATACTGTCTGTGTAAGACGGTAACCCGGCCTAATGACGGGAGGGACAGGTTTGGAGCCTGGTTAATGAAGCTTCCTGGAGTCTGCTCCAGAGTAGCAACTGCTCCATATGGGTAAAATACTGTCTTCCATTGACCCCGCGCTGCTGGTCCTGAGGGTACACAGTCTACAGAGCGCACACCATGGTCCATCCAAGTGTAGTTGGGTGAGCCACCATCCTAGCTGACTTCAGTGACCACTGAACTCCCAGAAGTACAAGCCCCACCTCACCACCTTAGGGGGAAAGTATCAATGAAATTGTGCAGAGTAGTAGAAAATACAAATCATGGAAGAACTCAGTCAAGTGAAAAATTAGCAGGAAGCCAACAATCAAGCAGAATTTCTGACCTGGAAGATTTCTTTTGACATGTTTGAGGCACAGGTCGCATACAACTACGCGTTAAGAGAGCAGAGCCAAAACAAGTTGTTCGGAGCTGAGCATTTACATCCTCACTCCGACCTAGAACCCGGACACCTGGGAGACAGCTGCAAGCGGGGCGAGAGCAGGAGGGAGTGCACAGGTAGGGATCCACTTGATAAGGCTGGAAGGAGCACTCTCAGCCACCACAGCAGTGGCAGATGGTGCCACAGCAACAGGAGGAGGGAACAAGTAGAGGAAAAAAAGACAGTGGTTCTGAAGAAAACAGCTCTTCACATTTCCTAATCTGTAAGCATGAACCTGTGGCTGGGAACCATTTTGACACAGGAAAATGGCACCTGAGCGTGCTGCCGAGGGGAGCCAGCCCCTGCAATTCCTTTCCCCGGGACCCACAGGTATGTCCTCGCCGATGCAGCCAGGCTGCCTTGTGGCTCTGTATGATCACACACAGTGACTCAGGAACTATGAGAAAGCCGAGTTCTTTATGCCTTTTGGACTGCTGGCCTTTGCAGCTGGCAAGAGGATCTAGAGATGGAGCAGGTGTGTGAACGTACACCGACTGAGCCGTGCAGAGACTGAGGTCTGGGTAGTGGGTTGCCATAGTCCCCCACAAAGCATTTGAGTATCACGCCACCCATGCCCACCCCACTGGGCTTCTCCGAGGGCACCAGAGGCTCCAGCTGTGCTTGGCTGCAGCCTGCCGCCAAAGTTTTATCTGCCCAGGTAATCCCCTGACCAAATGTCCTGTGTCCAGTAATCTACCCACTCAGCGAGTAGGGACACAGTCCAACCAGTGCTGGCCCCAAACCTCTCCAGCTGGCAACCAACAAGGCCACATGAGGAGGAAGACATGGCCTATAACGTTGTGTCACTAAGGGCTTCATAGCTCAAGAAAACAAGGAAGTACAGTTGCTTAAGCAGTGAACATCCATGTTTGTTCACCTGGCCGCAGAGAATTCTTCCATTATTGATAAGTTTTCTTTTTTGGGTTTTTTTTTTTTTGTTCAACTGATTTGTATCTGCTGATTAATTTTCAGTATACTTTTTTTTCTATGTTTTCTTTGTTACTCTTTTTCCTAATACTCAGATTATTTTACTTTTTGTTTTCCATTATATTCCGTCCTTTTTAAGCTTCTGTTGATTTGCATTATCTATTTGCCTGTGCTGTGAGTGTGTGTGTGTGGGTGTCTGTATGCGCATATATGTGTAGGTGGTGCTGGGACTTGAACCCAAGAATGTGCAGCTAGAATTCACTTTTAACTTTTCTGTTCCAAGGCAGGACACTCTTGGTGTCTCAGGCTTGGCTTCCTGCATGACTAGGACTGCAATTTTGTGTCACCAGGCCCAGATTTCTTTTTTTGTCTTTATTTTCTTGTGTTCTGTTCTTTTGCACTTTTTTGAATATTCTGATTTTGATTTTGCTTCCCTCATTTTCTTCTCTGAATTGTGTTTTTATCATCTTTTTAAAACTTTCAGCTTGTACTGCTTTTACCCCTACCATTGCTGTAGTGGTTGTTAGTATTTAGGGTATCATAGCTGGTACTTTTTTTTTTTTAACGCTATTACGTCCAGCTCACTGGTACCTGTTTTTGTTATGACCCATGTCCAAGCCATATGGCTGGGGGAAAAAGGGCCTGAAGATGTAGACATAGAACACCTTTGGGAGAGAAATGACACAAAGGGAGTAGACAGCATGCCCGTGAGGGCCCTCAGCGTAGAACATATATGTTGACGAGGCTAATCAGAGAGAAAGTAATGCAGGTATTCCACAGTCTACCACACACATGCCTGAGCCGATAGAAGGACCTTCTGTATGACCCACAGGGAAAGAGGACCCTCAGGTTCCATGGTGCACACTCCCATGGCCGCCAGAGAACTGTAACAAGGAAACTTCTGTGAAAGCACTCAAATACAGTGAGCACAAGTTGGGCATCCCAGGGCAACATTTAAGAGAAAGTTGTTAACTAAAATCCCTTTACACAAAAGCAGAAGAGATATCCAAACCAACACGAGAAGATCTCAGTATGGGAGTACAGGAAACATGAAAAACAAGGCACTATGATGCCTCCAAATTAATACAGTACCTCTATACTAATTGATTCTAATAACATCAAAGCAGACAAAATCTCAAATATTTCAAAAGAATGATTACAAAAATAAAGAGCATACAAGTACACATAATGCATTGCAAGATTTGAAACAATTTGACAAATTCTGATGGAAAAAACTAGAAATCTTAGCAAAATAAATAAGGCTTGAATGCAAATTTGATCAATTATATCTATACAGGGAAAATAAATTATGAAAACTAGTAAGACCTCTGGGAAACAATTTTAAAAGTCAGATTTAAGAGTCTAGAATTGAACTCAAAATACAGGTGAAAGTGACAGAAAATCTATCCAGTGAAACAGAAAATGTCCCAAATCCTGAGAAAGATACAGACATCTAGGTTACAAGAGATATTTAGAACTCCAAACAAGGGCTGGGGATTTAGCTCAGTGGCATAAGTGCCTGCCTAGCAAGTGCAAGGTCATGAGTACAATCCCCAGTACCACAAAAAAAAAAAAAAAAAAAAAAAACCTCCAAACAAACATGACCAAAGAATCAATCTGCGCTGTATAGTTAAAAAGTCAAGAGTACAGAACTGCAGGAAATGATATTGAAAGCTGCAAGAGAAAAACAAATCAGTTACAAAGATAAACCCATCAGAGTGACAGCAGATTTTCAACAGAAACTCTGAAGGCCAGGAAAATGTGAAATAATGTAATTCAAGCTCCAATTGCAACTTAGGTTATTATGTCCAATGAAGCTCTCCTTCAGAATTTAAGGTGACATAAAGACTTCCCAAGAGAAAGAGAAGCTAAAGGAATTAATGGCCATCATGCCACTACTTCAGAATGTACTTCAAGGAATCCTACAGACAGATGGATAGACTAACAAGTGAGAATTAAAGAATTGTACATTACAAAAATTTTTGAATGGTAAGAATTTACATTTTTCCAATAGTAACCTGATTACAAATAGCTTAATTTTTCAATTGAGAGACACAGATTTGCAAGTTGACAAAATTCAACTATATATTGCCTGCAAAAATAAAATACATCTCATATGGAAAGAAATACATAATTAGGCATGAAAATGATATTGTATACAAATAGAATCCAAAAACAAACAAATGTTGCCATACTCCTATCTGCCAATGCAGACCTCAAGTCAAAATTAGAAGAGGCATACCTCTCTCCCTGGTAATTGGAGGCAGTATGGCAGACTGCAGCCCTTCCAGGGGGAGAACCAGCAGCAGCTCCTGAGATCTGCGCCATGTTGGAACTGAGGACACTGGGAAGCCAAGCAAGCACCTCTCCTCCCTGGTAAGCAGTGGTGGTGGGGCAGACTGCAGCCCTTCCAGGGGGAAAACCAGCAGCAGCTCCTGAGATCTGCACCATGTTGGAACTGAGGACGCTGTGAAAACAAATGACCATCCTGCCTCCCTGCTAAGCAATAGTGAACCTACTGCTACGTAGCCTAGAATCAAATATCCCACTTTCCATATCCTCCT